CTCTCCCTGCCCTCTGGCAGTGGGATCCATTCCCTGTGTCCTGTCCCTCCATCCCTTGTCCCCAGCCCCTCTCCCACATCCCATGCCAGGGTTGTGTCACCCACAGGAGCTGGGTCTCCACAACACTTGAAAATCGAGGGTTTAGTGGCAGGGGGTTGTGTTTGGTGGGTCCCAGAGCCAGGGGAAAAGGATCTTGTTGTATCCACAAAACCCCACAGCAGGGATGGGAAATTTTAAAGTTGTTCCTACCAGGAAGACTGATCCAGGCAAACACCACCTCTGCTTCATCAGACATGCACTGCAAAGAGGTGTTACTGCTTTCCATCACAGAGATGGTAATTTCCATGAAAAAGGGGAGCCTGTGGGTTCCAGTAATTCTGTTCAGTGAACTGACACCTGAACCCAAGTGTGGTTCACATGGAATTACCCTCTGGCACCCAGGAAACTCCCACTGGACACAGAATCATTCCAGCCCATGGATCCACCCTGTGCCTGATCCCACCTTGTCCCCAGCCCAGAGCACTGAGTGCCACAGCCTCAGAAACACTCACTTATTCTTGGAATTGTGAGTAGAGCAAACCCCTGATTCCCTTACGGATGTAGGTCCAGGGTTCCAGCAATGGATCCCGTAAAATTCCCGACTCGGAGGCTCCATGAACATTTTTGTCTGCACTTCTCGTATCTCCTACAGCAATAACAAACACTGTGATAACTCAGCTCCCATCAAACACAGGACATCAGCCTGACTGGAATCCTGACTGGATTTTTAAACACCCCCCTCCTGGTTTGAAAGGTTCAGTGGTGGGGATTCCACCCCCACTTTGGAAATCAATTCTGACAATTACTGACTCACACTCACTGTTAAAAACATACATCTTGTTTTGCTGCCCAGAGAAGCTGTGGCTGCCCCTGGATCCCTGGAAGTGTCCCAGGCCAGGTTGGATGGGGCTTGGAGCCACCTGGGATAGTGGGAGATGTCCCTGCCCATGGCAGGGGGTGGCACTGGATGAGCTTTAAGGTCCCTCCCAACCCAAACCCTTCCATCACTCTCTCTGATTTTTGTATTTCATATTTATTATTCTGAATGTGTCTCCCTTCAGCTTCTGCTCTGTGTCCCTTGTTAAGCCCATCTGCCAAAGCTCCCTGGGATTATATTTAATTTCTCTAGGACTGGTATTTCCAGAAGTATCAAACCCTTCCTTAACCCCTGTGGGTTATTCCTGCATTCCTTGGGTCCTTGCCTGTAAAGCTGTGCCTCTTCCCAAACCTACTTCCAGTCCTTCAACCATTTCCATCCACCTTCTCAAACCCTTTGGTCCTTCCACAGTTTTCCAACAAGGATCCTGCCCCCACCAAGCACAAAGGGGAACCTCTCCTGTTTGTCCTCCTAAATCCTGTCACCACCCACGGTTACAAAATCACCCTGAAAATGCACATTGTGCCACCTGCAGACCAGGACCTCCAAGAACTGGTTTTGGGCCATTCTGCCCAGCACGTTTTCCTTTCAACTGGCTTCATTCCTCCAACATTTTCCCATTCCCCTCTGTTTTATAAGTTTTCCTCCTGGTCATGCAGATGAGAGTTAATGGCACAGAACTCAGCCTGATCTCTGCAGGGCTCTGCTGGAAAACACCCCCCAGCACCTTCTTCTGGCAGTCACATTGAGGCCAACGAGCTGAACTATTTTCATGGAATCCTGGAATCCCAGAATGGTTTGGGGTGGAAGGGACCTTAAAGCCCATCTCCCTCCAAGCCCCCCCTTCACGGGTTCTTCCCGTTCCCCTGCCTAGGTGGTGCATTGTTTATTGTTTTCCACATCTCCCAGTGCTCACAATAAACACATTATGGCAACAAACCCACTTCATTAACCAGGATTAACCTCGCAGGAAGAGCCAGGCTGAGTCTGACTCCAGCAAAGTGCCAAAGCCTGAGCTGGGCTGGCACGAGTTACCTTTTTATTTATTGATCAACAGGCAGCTCAGCACTGCTCAGTCATTTCACTGCCCATCCAAGTCATACTGGCAAACATGACATGTCAGACACTGCCCTGAGTTCATCCTGCACGTCCCCCCAGCAATGAGATCATGTGGATGTTGTTCCAGGGCTCTGGGACCTTTCCAGTGCTCTGAGACACACAGGCCATCAGCAGTAAGCATCTAAATTAAGAAATTACCTCAAAATGCAGTTTGGATTGAAAACACAGACACTGCAGTTCAAAATCCTGCTGGGTCACCTCAGAGTCCCAGAATCCCTGAGGCTGGAAAAGCCCTCCCAGCCCATGAATCCACCCTGTGCCCGATGCCCACCTTGTCCCCCAGCCCAGAGCACTGAGTGCCACAGCCAGGCCTTCCTGGGACACCTCCAGGGACTCCAAACCTCCCTGGGCAGCCCCTGCCAGGGCCTGACCACCCTTTCCAGGGAGAAATTCCTCCTCCTGTCCAACCTGAGCCTCCCCTGGCACAGCTGGAGGCCGTTCCCTCTCCTCCTGTCCCTTGTTCCCTGGGAGCAGAGCCTGACCCCCCCTGGGTTCCCCCTCCTGTCAGGGGGTTGCAGAGCCAGAAGGTCCCCCCTGAGCCTCCTTTTGTCCAGGCTGAGCCCCCCCCGCTCCCTCAGCCCCTCCTGCTGCTCCAGCCCCTTCCCAGCTCCCTTCCCTTCCCTGCCCACGTTTCACAATCGCTGCCCCTCGGCCAAACCACAGCCCGGAAACTCCTCACCAATAACTCCTGAACCATTAGTTTACATTCTTTGCTACCAGTTCTGTGTTTCCTCCCTCCTTCAATGAGCACAGCTGGTTTTTTTTTTCCTTTCCAAGCCTTGTTTTCCCTGGAACATTGGGCCAAGTATTGTTAAACTGCCCCCAGTTATTACTATTTCTATTCTTTGTTTACTCAGCTGAAGCCAATCTCAGCCTTCCAGTCTCTCCCACAGCATCTGTAGGTGCTGAGGAGCTTCTCCTGCCCAGGAATCAAACCCAGCCAAGCCCTGATCTCTGACACCTGAACACTGACTCACTGGGACCTGGAGCAGCCCCCGGGATGAGCCGAGTCCTGCACTGGCCACAGCTCTTATCACACTTCAAAACCATTGCTGGGCTGTTTGGGTGCTTTTCATTAGTAGTATTTTTTTTTGTTTCAATGGGACCACTTACACAAAACCCTCAAGGTCTTATGTCACTTCTATAAAAACCCCAGCAGGTCTTTTTCATCCTACGTTCCTTTTATTTTCATGTGATTTAGTGTTTGATATAAACCCCCTACTGACATTATTTCTGCACCAGGCCAGTATCTGTTGTTCCCAGAGTTGTCCTTGTAGCACCAGGCCCTATTTCCCAATACTTTGGCTTTTTAGGGCACCATTTTTTTTAAATTTAATTAAAGCTGTCAGCACAGAGCAGATGTCTCTGAGCTGCCTCTCTGCTGCCAGGAGCATCCGGGCAGCCATCCCAGTCCCTGCAGGAGGTGTCCAGCCATGTCCCCACTGTCCCAGTCCCTGCAGGAGGTGTTGGGATGTGTCCCC